ACAGAAACCACCATCAAGATAGCGCTATAACATGTTATAACTCTGTAGTATGAACGTACTATAAGACATTAATCACTAAAGTCTCATGATCGGTTATTTTCAAATCAGTATCCGTAACTGAACAAATGGAATCAAAATTGGAATAAACGTTGTCAATTAAAGTTCTACTGTGCCTGGAAATACGCGTATACTCATTTACCGTTTGCTTTAAATTAAAAAACTCAGCTAAACGCTTCAAATGATTCGAATTATGGTTATCACGCCAATTAATATTAAAATCACCAGCCAATATATTTAATTTACTAGAATCAAGGAATGTTTCAAACCAGTTCTCTAAAACTTCAACAAAACGCTGGTCACTAGAACTGGGAGAATGATACAAAACACCATAATTACCCATCTTCATGCCACGCACAACTGTAATGCCCAAGAACCAGTTGCCATCAATAACTTCGTTGGTACGAAGGTTGAATTGAACTGATTCTTTGACATAAATAGCAACACCGCCAGTGTGTCTAGAATGTGATAAACAAGCAGCAACAATATATCCCGGAATACTATACTGATCAAAAGCTTCAGTTTCTACAATATGAGTTTCAGATAAGAAAACTAAAAGAGGACGTTTTTCCTCAACAATCTGACGTAATGCTACGTAGTTTGTTGACAACCCCGCAATATTCAAGTACAAAAAATCGAATTGATTCACATTCCTGGAACTTGGCTGCTATTTATTGAAACGCAAGCTGCTTTTCTTCTGATCAAAAAGTCTTTTATAAAGCAAACATTCCGAGCTAAATGCGGCATGGTTGACGTCCAAGTTCATTTTTCGTTCTTTATTCGTTTTCAAACAATTAATACATTTCAATACAGTTGACGTACACTCCGACGTTTTGTGTTGTTGGCTGCACCTAGAGCATCTATCACAATTTTTGCAATCCATGCTCTTGTGCCCAAATTCTCCACATTTGAAGCATCTCAACACATTAATCGCGGGAACTATCGAGCACCGATCAAACCCTACATTTACTTTTTTCGCACATAACAAACATTTATAAGTATCGACATCGACTTCAATTACAACACTTAACTTGTTATAAGTGAAGCGTGGATTTTCAAACATGTTCACTACTTTAACATCATTTATAGCGATGTCTTCATTTTGACTTTTTAAGTAGTCAATGAAGACATCGGAGGAAAACTGATCGCTCATGCCCACTATTTTCAATCTTGGCACCGAAGTGGGAACAACAGCACTATATTTTTCACCCAGATTGCTTTCAATACCAGTTTTTACATCATTTAGATTAGCTCCTGTTGCACACTCAACAATAATAGAGCCATCTTTACCATTCCTAAAATTACTGATTTTGTGTGTTTTTGGATCCAACTGAGTTTTCAAAAACTTACGAGTATCTTCGCAAGCTTGTTTGGACTCTTTTGATCACAATGACCGGACGAGTCTTACGATTACTCTGTTTGTTACTGTTACTGTTAATGTTACTGTTACTGTTAATGTTACTGTTACTGTTAATGTTACTATTACTGTTACTAATATTTTTACTTTTACTTGCATGACTAGATCTTTTTACAACATCCGCAAAACTCGCATTTTCTTGAAAAACATCATCAGTCGAATCGTTGCCACTATTTTGAAATTTACGTTTTTTGCGTCTGGGATTTCGGTCCGATTCAGAATGAACCGTCCTAGATGCACCATTCGTTGCAGCTAAATTTTTTTCCGTACTAATTTCAAAACATGAACTAGTCATCGTATTCCATTTCTCACTAATTAATTTTTCAAAGCAACTTAAAGAATCGTTCATATTTTGTTGCATTTTTTCCATGCCAATTCTCAACGCGTTGTCTATCTGAGCAGCAACGTTGTTTCGTATACCAGTGATAGAGTCAGCAACAGAAGACAATTGCTTCATTGCTTCCCCCAGCATTTTGGTATCCAAAACCGATACATTCTGCTCGTCACAACTCTGATCTGACAGACAATTACTACACTTGAATAGAACATTTGCATTATCTGTGATAAGCTTTGCCTGAGTCCGCGTGAGTGTAGTGCACTTGCAATGAAATACACGAGCACACTTACCCACACAGATAACCGGCAAATCACTTACCAAAATCCCCAAATTACATATTGCACACTCAGCCATATATACCACCTATACACATAAACTTTACATGCAACACTACAGAGACACAAGTAAAAACGAACGAAAGCAAAAATTAATGCTGCAGCATGGAACCCAACAGAACGTGGAACGGTATAAACAGAAGCGGAAACAGCAGAACCGCATCTTTCTGGAGAAAAAACGCTGCCTGGAAGAAGCGGAGTGCGAGGAAATGGAACTGCTGTGCCGTTCCCAAGAAACACGGAAGTTCTACTAGAAGCTCAACGCATCCCGCAACGGCTTCGTGCCGCGAGCCGAACTGTGCAAGGATAAGGACGGGAGCCTCTTGATGGACGGACGTGAGGTGATTGAAAGGTGGAAGCAGCACTTCGATGCGCACCTGAATGGCGAGGAGAACGTAGGCACGGGAGACCAGCGCAATGGAGGAAACGACTATCAACAGAATACCGTAAAATGATGTATAAATCTTTTGTAGCTTTTGATATGAACTACAACTTTTGCTAACAGCTAAAATCTTTATCTCTTATGCATGATGAAATAGAGCTGACAGAACATGTTATTGTTTTTTAGTGAATGCAATTTACATTCACTGAAAAACAATAGTGCACATTATCGCAAGAAAATTTGGAACGGTGGCAGAACTATTCACCCGCCTGAAACACGAAGCAGCAACGGTCGGACTGGTGGTGAGTGCGTCAAAAACAAAGTACATGCTAGTAGGACATGACAGGATTCGTATAGGAAGTAATGTCACGATAGACGGGGATACTTTCGAGGTAGCGGAGGAATTCGTTTACCTTTGATCCTTAATGACGACTGACAACAATGTGAGTCGTGAAATACGAAGGCGCATCATCAGTGGAAGTCGTGCCTACTACGGGCTCCAGAAGAAACTACGGTCAAAAAAGATTCACCCCGCACCAAATGTACCATGTACAGAACGCTAATAAGACCGGTGGTCCTCTATGGACACGAGACATGGACTATGCTCGAAGAGGACCTGCAAGCACTCGGAGTTTTCGAGCGACGTGTGCTAAGGACGATCTTTGGCGGTGTGCAGGAGAACGGTAAGTGGCGGCGAAGAATGAACCACGAGCTCGCTGCACTCTACGGCTAACCCAGCATCCAGAAGGTGGCCAAAGCCGGAAGGATGCGGTGGGCAGGGCATGTTGCAAGAATGCCGGACAACAACCCTGCAAAGTTGGTGTTCGCTACTAATCCGGTTGGCACAAGAAGGGGTGGAGTGCAGAGAGCACGATGGGCGGACCAGGTAGAGCGTGATCTAGTGAGCATTGGGCATGACCGAGGATAGAGAGCAGCAGCTGCAAACCGAGTATTGTGGCGTACTATTGTTGATTATGTCTTATCTTAAATGTGATGTTGTACAAATAAATGTATGTAGGTGTATGTAAGCATCGAAAAATGTAACATTATTTCCTATCACCGAAAAATCGAACCAATCATGTTTGACTCTGTTCACTACGGACGCTGTCTTGCTCGTGTAGAGCACATAAAGGATCTTGGCGTTACTTTGGACTGCAGACTCACTTTCAGAATCCACTACAATGACATCATCTCCAAAGCTAATCGACAATTGAGCTTTATTTTCAAAATTGCCGACGAGTTCCGTGACCCGCTATGCCTCAGGTCACTCTACTGCTCGCTTGTGCGATCCTTATTGGAGTCAAGTTTAGTTGTTTGGTGCCCTTTCCATGCTAGCTGGATCACTAGAATTGAATCCGTTCAACACAAGTTTGTGACATATGCTCTTCGTTTCCTCAACTGGCGTGACCCAATAAACTTGCCTCCGTACGAGGAGGGTTGCCGTCTCCTGGGAATCGAACCATTAGAGGTGAGACGGACGGTCGCTCAAGCTATGTTCGCTGGAAAGCTGCTTACGGGTGACATTGACTGTCCAACACTGCTGGCTCATCTAAATATGTATGTCCCTGAGAGGCCTCCTTCGTCAACGCGACTTTCTGTTTTTGGAACCACGGCGCCACTAACACAACACGAGCAATTAGCCGGCAATTCAACAACTTCTTTTATATGTTCGACTTTAATGTATCAGCTGACGTGTTTCGTCATCGGTTACTTGGCCTTTTCCGTACCGTTGACCGTAACTATTTAATTTAAGTTTTATTCATTTAGACAATAATAGTCAGTTGAATTTTTCTATATACAAATAAACAAAAAATAAACAAATTATTCACTTGTTCCAAAATGGCCGTTCCATGGACATTTAGTTAGATACAAACAAATGATGAGAAAAGTTTCTTTTTTAAATTTCAAAAAATAAAGAGCATTCCATCCAAGCCCATTCCGGGGACAATGTGTCAGATAGCCATGAAAATATGATGAACAGTCTCCTGCTGTAAATTCACGAATTTTGATACCCATATTGCATGGGTTTCGTCCCAAACACTTCTATGGCCACTAGAGGCACTACGGAAACCTGTGCCGGAATGGCCGTTCCGGGGAGAAACCTTAAACTGGTCCTCAAGTAAGCTGAAATTGTTTCTTGAAGGAGATTCTGATACTTCAATATCGATTCCTTCGAAATTCTAGTGAAAGTGGCAAGAAAATGTTTAGTTCTGGAACATTATACAGGAATCCGGATTTCCGGGAACCAGACTATTCAGGATGGACATTGTTGTCCTGAATCCTATGGTGCCAAAAGATTCAAAATCGATCAAAATTGGCAGCAGTAGCAAGTATTTCAATTTGTGGGTACCCGGGTACCCTTGTCGAGCTCCTAAAGTTGTTTTGCTGTCGGATCACATAACGGTTAAGACAATATCAAATAAACAAATTGGAAAAAAGACCTTGTGATATTTCAAAGAGTGGCTCATCATCCAGCGGCACAACAATATATTGTTCACTACATTTTGACAGACTTAGATCAAACATTGACATAATTTACTGCATTTTTAGCCCATAATCAGAGAGTTGTTTGTGTGTAACATATCCTAGAATAAAAAAAGCATTATTTTGTGTTAACGTCTAAAGAAAAATAAAATTACCAGAAATTCCATCGGCATCTGTAGACACAATAATCGATGTTTTTGAAAGGCTCGGATTTCTCATTGCTGTAAATGCACTTGGCTGCATATAATTGGACGTTGCAGGCTATTAGAAGCAATATTTGGAAATTAAAAATATTAAAAATAAAAATTAAAGTCTGTACCAGAAATATAAGGAAGCTGATATGCAGAAATTCAAGAACGTAAGTGGAGATGTATCAGCCTATTACCGAAGACATCTTTTTCCTAAAGAGTTTTGATGAATTTTCAATTTATTCGGAAGTAGAACGTTTTTTTTTAGGAAGAATACTCAATCAAAACGGACTTTTGCCCCAAAATTTAAGCTTAACAATAGGGCAAACATGTCATTGTTATTTTTTCTATTGATCATTAAGTAATAGCATGATTAATTTATCCTTTTCTCACATACCTTTGCTAAGGGTGCTTGAACATATCCATTTGTGCTTGGCTTCGCTACAGGTGCTAGAACGTATCCTGTTGACGGCAAACTTAAAACATTATCTTTATTTACATTTGTCTTCATATCCAATGCACCAGCGCTGGTTGATAGTACTGGCTGGCACAAGTCAAGTTCTGCAGGTAAGTTGTATTGCTGAAAATAGAGAATATTCATCATGATTCGAACATACAGGCATACAGAAAAATAAAAATAGGGAAGATCCAGAAATGACGTAGCATTTTAGGGTGACCAGCCATGTAGAAAAATATGCTACAAGCGGGAGGGGGACCAAAGTTGATGCTTCGCGAAACGTAAATAAACGTTAAACGTACTTATTAATGGGTATTTTCAACTTAGCGTGCATATGGCTGGTCACCTTAAATGGTTACATCATTTCTGTATAGCAGAATTGTACACTCTAAAAATTCTTCATTTTGATGCTACATGGAAAATCACGCAACCCTTGAAACATACTTTTTCAGTCACGTAAAATCTACGCGATATCACGTAAATGCCAAATGAAATTTTACATGATTTTCACGTCCGTAATGCTAGGCGAATTTGACGTCAGTGGTATGTGATGAACATGTATGAAAAAATTAATGTGATTCAATATGGCGGTGATGCACTTTTGGTATCAGATGTTTGTGTTGTATATTTTTTGTTTATTAATAATTGATGAGTACTTGTTGAATTAAGTAAGTAATATTGCTTAGCTAATTACACACACTTTGATTATTATTGGCAGGTCGTTGAATGTTTATACAAATAAGGCCTGCCCTAATAAACAAATACCATACACGAAATGTATCCCGGATGGGTAAACTATCCCACAAATCGTTTGTATGATACCCCGAACGTCGTTAAGCTCTCTTTTATGGTTATTTGTATTAGGGTGGGTTATTACAAATAAGATGACCAGCAACCAATCTGTAAAAACACGAGACGCGGATCGTGTAAAATTGCAAATTTGTGTCCTGTCATTAGAGCTAGCATATGCTTATAGGGCATGAAATAATTATAATATTTACCATTGTAGCGAGTTTTAATAGGAATTTACCAATACTATCAACAAAAATCATGTAAATTTTACGTGAGAATACGGTACGCTTAAGGTGAATTAATCCAGCGTTCACAAATCATAGACACTTGCACTGCAACTTCGAGTTTTCTCGGGCGTTATGCGATACCAAGTGTGTGTAATTTGCATCAAGCAATTTTGTTATTGTATGTTTTCCGGTAGCAGATAATTGAACCCTGGAACATGCGAAGAGCCCGGGCTTCAGGTTCGTAACACTTTAATCCAATGGTGATTGGATACATCCACTTGTTAATCACGTACTTAACTTTTACATAAAAAGAAGGAAGGACGAAAGCTATGTATGTTTTCACGAAACTCGAACGTGAAATATTCTTTGAGTGTATGAAAATATCGTATATGGCAACAGACAAACAGACGTACGTTAAGGCTATAATAGCTGATATCAATTAATATAGGCAGTCTGCAATGCGCACTCATATATCAAATTTTCACCGGAAATCATAGGTATCACTCTTGATATCAAGATAGCATATATAACGTGATATCAGCTATAGTTTTAACGTATAACTCTAGAGGTTTGTTAAATCGACGTTCAAATCTAGTAAAACAAATAATCTGAGAAAATGGAATGGGGCTACCCTACCCTGTTTGCCATAAAGTCATTTGGCGTAAAGTCGTTTGGCATAACACAATGGAAGTGTTTAAATTTTAATGCGGTTTAATAACGCAAGACTAGACACATAATACCACAGACAAACAGACATAACACATTGAATATTTCTCATTGTTTAACATCGTCGCTTAAACATTAGCGTCATCTGTTGAGTACACTGTGGTGGGTAGTACGCTGAACAGATGGCGGTAGTGTGTAAACGTCAAACGCAAGGAAAATGACTATGCGCGCCACAGGTGGCGGTACTACGAACTACGATACTTTTAAATTGACCGTTAAATGCTTGTTTGATGAACAACTTGCGAGTGTTATGTCTGTTTGTCTATGATAATACCATTTAGTTAGGAGTCAAATTAAAAATAATCAATTTTTATTTCATTGGTTGCGCGATATAAGAGGAGCAGTGAGAAAGCACCAATAGTTACTGCAACAATAAAACTCGAAAAAACAGCTCATATTTGAAAGAAGGGAAAATCTCTATTAAAAGTACGCCAGAGAGATGGAAGTGTCATTGTAGCTATTTATCAAATGCTGTAGTGGAAGTGAGTAGTATTGTTTATGTTATTTTTGCATCTGGAAGAGATGTTGATATTGTTATGCCAAACGTCCATTATACCAAACGACGTTCCCCCAATGGAGTGAATAAAATAGTTTACTTTACTTTCCCTATAAGAAAAGCACGGAAGGGTTTACTTTACTATCTTTATGGGGCGTTTACACTTATGCTATTTCACTAGCGCTAATGAACCAGCTGCTATCAAAAAAAGGTCACCAGCATAATGCAAACAGGGCATCAGCGTCTACCAGCATGAGATTTCAGGAGCAACTGAAATTCGTGTTAGTTGGCTAGTACAAATTAGTTGGTAGCAAATCCGCACAGATGTAAACACCCCATTATTCATACGGCCCTAAGAGGAAGAGGAGACAACTGGCTTCTTTTTGTCTGTGACGTATTGTTCTTCTCTTGCGGAAACGACCATGCAAAAACTATTTCATAATGGGCGAGGCAGTCGACTGTTCAAATACAAGATAATAGATTCCCTGTTGTAAAAATTTTTGCGTTTCTATACGTTCGTACAACCAATCAGGCGCTGGTTCGCGTTGGTTCATAAAATTCCCCCGAATGGCTTCTCTTCCTCTTAAATAGGCCTTTCACGATTGTTTTTATTTGCAATAATCGTTTTGTCAATACATTCTATATTGACGTCAATACATCGGTATTGACGTTATATTTCCGAATTCACATCATCAATATTACTGTCAATAATTTCCCTTCGCGTTAATGTACAGCCCAACAAGCTGTGAAAAAGTGCATCCAGCGAATACGTTGCGGCAAAGTGGCAGCCAAATCTATTGTCTAACTGTCAAATTTGCCGCAACGGATCAACAACGGATGCAATGTGCGTGGGCCTTTTTACGTCTGTTTGTTTGCGGTCACATTGCAACAATTTGTGATTCGTTGGAAATATTAAAAATTGTTCAAATAAACTATACGTACAGTTTTGTAATCATCTGATAACGATAATAAATCTACGTCATGTGCTGCACCGTCCTCATGGTCCAGGTTCTCCTCAGTTGAGCCAATGCTAGTAGAATCATCCAGAGCGTGCAGATTGTTCTCGATATGTCGATGATGTGGGGAATAAGGAAGCAGAGTGTCGTCTGCCGCTTTTCCCAAAAGCTCATTTAAGTTATCATTGCCACCAAAACCTCCGTGATCTTTGAAAGCTTCCGATTTTTCCGATATAACAATGTCATTCAATGCGTCTGGTAAAACGACTTTGATGTTTTTAATTTGTTTCATTTTCTTCAAGCTCATGTATGTGCATATCACAAGGCTAATGATTCCAAAAAATGTAACGAGTGTTAGGAAAATTATAGCCTTTGTGTTGCCGGGACCGTAGTTACACCAATGCGTTAACGGTTTAGACCATTCGCCGTGAAGTATAGTGGCAAACTGATCTATTTTTATCCAGTCTATAAAAGGTTCTCTATGCCCATTAAGCTCACATTCTACCCCACTGGGGTATGCGTGGTAATTGTATGTATTAGGCACTCCATGCTTTGAGTAATACGTATACTTTTGATCGCAAGCTAGTTTGTTCCATTCTGTATAGTTAGGCGCATGGGGACTCAAGATGACATTCACGGCGCGAACAGAGAACTCATACTTGTCGGTCCGATTGGAATCTCCTGATCCCAATTGACAGATAGAGCGTTTTAAACTACACCTGGTGCCCTGCACGCGTGTGATTATAGCTGCATCTTCAGTTTGCGTATTTGTTTTTATCTTGAGCTCATAATATTCTATGCATCCTGCTTTTCGTTCTGGCGGTTGCCATAGTAAAGATAATCGTGTACTATTTGAATCCATAGATCCAGGTTGCTGAATAATGCCAGGTGTTCCAATCTCGGTTGTTACGTCCACTGAATTGGAGTTATTGGAATATCCTATTGTATAAGCTCGGACAATGATTTTGTAATTCGTAAATGACTCAAGATTACGCAAGGTGTACGTCACATCATCGGTATAGTTTTCAGTGTAAACCTTTGTATGCAAATGGTTATACCACACTTCGTAGTTCATTTTACCGCCATTTATTTGACGCGGTGGATCCCAATGCAGTGTTACCGAGTCATTTCGTACTTCTTTATACATCAAATTTCGTGGCGGAGATGGTGCTGTAGAAGGAAAAAAGGAAATTAACAAGAACTATGAAAATCCTGCTTTTTGCTATTGTATGCTTACCAGCTTCCAGTGTTGTGTTTAACAGTGGGTCACTCCTCGGACCAATTCGAGTTTTTGAATACATAGCTATTTGAATCTTGTAGGTGACGTATGGTTTCAAGCTGCTTATTCTGTGTGATGTAGTTCCGGTTATATTGAGAGATTCTTCTGGAACCTTACAGCTCTGATTACGAGGGGAACTGATCGGACAATAGATTATGCTGTAACCCTCGACAATTGCATTATCTCCACATTCCAATTTCCATTCCAGATCAATATAGGTAGACTGCATGGCAGGAATCCAAATAGTCTTCAATTTCCCAATATCATTTTTTTGAGTGGCCGTACACGAGGCCCATACCATTCCAGATGACAATTCACCGAAATTTGCTGCGACGGCGAAATTGAGCGTAGAACTCACATTATTTAGTTCATAGCTATTTCTGGTACCACCGATTTTATCAAAGTTAATAGAGCCATTGCAATCATTAGGAGAATTGCTGCTTGAATTGCACCAAAATACTGTATACGAAGTAACTCTGGTTGCATGCTCTGTGACTGGCTTCCACGACAGAAGGTATTTGCCTGCATCTGACAAAAGTTTGGTTATCTCTGGTTTGGGTGCCCGATGCTGCCTACTTGGTATGAAGAGTTTACTAGAGTCCAACGAATCGCCTTCGCTATTAGAACTTCGTATGGTGAACGTATAGTTGCCATCAGTCATATTCCTGAATTGAACCATAGAGCTTCCATTACGTCCTTCAGTGACGTTGCTGGAATAAACAGAAATTGAAATTATTGCCCGATAGTTGCCACTACCTTAATTTTTTGGTTGCTTCATAAATTGCTTTACCCAGTTACTTTTTTCTACCACCTCACAGATAATTATAGCGTGCAGAATCATGAAGGCCTAACGATTATCCTTATAGATTTTTATTGCCGAGTTGGTGCCTTTACATCACTGTATTGGAAAAATTTCGGAAAAATGCTTCATCAAACTGTGAACTGCAAAGTTCAAGGAAATTAATTGGGATTTTTGTTAAAAACATTTCCAAGATTGGACACTCACGAATAACATCTCAAAAAGGTGAAAATTGGTCAAATTTGCGATAAGTGAATTTTAACCTAGGAGTATCTTGAAAATAACAACTTTCGGCAATTTAAGCACCAAAACCTTTTTTGTTGTAAATTTAATGTGTTTTAATAATAACACCATTACGAAGATTTTTTTTTTATTAGAGTGACTTTCAGCCACTGGCTGGTTCGTCACTTGAAAAGCGATAGAATTACTTGAGATCGGTGTTAAGGCGGATCATCCCATCTTCTGGTGCCATTTACATCTCATTTTTGCTATGATTATCGTTAAACTTGACAACACGGTTGTCAAATGATTATATCAAATTATGTTTTCATACACTACTCGGTTAGTTTTTTTTTAAACACGAGCAGTTCTTTCGAAACTTTAGACTTTTTCTGAATTCTAGTATTTGAATGTTTGCTAGAATCTAATATCAGATATTTTAACATTTCAGAAATTGCATGAGTTTTCTACAAAGTTATAAAAACTGGTTTAGATTATTTTCAAACGATTCGGCCTTAGCGGCGTCGGTGGTGTAGCGGTAACCCCAGCAGGCCTGGGTTCAATCCCAGTCGGCGCCGCCGGGATGTTCTGAGGCATAACATCTCTGATCACGGAAGTAAAGCAGTTGGTCCCCGGTTCATGAGTTCATGAGTCGATAGGTAGGGTCCAGGTGTGGGAGCTGCCTCCTTGGCGTCGGTAGCATTGGTGCTCAGCACGGAAAACAAGATCGACTTAAAACAAATCAAGGAAAAAAAAAACGATTCGGCCTTGTGACGTCGGGCAAGAGACATTCGGGCAAATGTTATAGAATACATTGCAGATAGGCCATTATGATTTTGTACGCTAGAATTCAATTAAAACTTAAGAAACGTTACAATTACCTGATGGGAAATCCATTTCTAGTGATTTCTGTTATTTTGTATCGAAATCCAGTTGCCGAGTTGTGTTTACTTCTTGGAATTTCTCGCCAATAAACGAATATGTCGTTGTACACGTTGATTTCAAATCCTCCGATGACCACTTCCGGTGGGTTATCGGGCCTCCTAGGCAATGTCGTAAACAAACAACTAGTGTAATTTGACCACATTTCTTCGATATTTTCAGCACTTTCCGTTTTCATCCTGATTCTCACGTCGTAAGTGGTATCGGCAAACTCAAGATTCTCGACAGGTAGCTCGTAGCTAGTCAATGACGTCGAAATTTTGCTTGTGTTGATCGGTTTCCAGACTGCGTGATCAAAACTAGATAAGATTTTGATTTGGAAAATGAATTTACGTTTGAATGTTTGCAGTTTGTAAGATATAGCCCAATGCAGAATCGCACTGCTGGATGTGATATTTGTGGCCTGGCACTCCAAGGGTGCTTCTGGTATGACGTTATCGAAGTTGTTGATGGTATAGTTTTCTTTGTTTATGCCGAAAGTGTTATTTGACACCAGTACGAAATAATATAACTCGTGCGATTGTCGATAGGACGAGTCTAGATCTATAGAACATTTCCACGTGTTATTGAATTGACCTTCCAATGGGCAACTGTATTCTACGTAGTCACGGTCACGGTCGAAGCTGAAACTCAGATCATATTGGGTAGGTATCGGATTGTATGGTTGCTCAAATGAGCAATTCATTTTCTGCCAATTTTCAGAGCGACATTTGAAATTGGTGACATTGTACGGCTTATATCCAATAAAAACACTCCGCATATCAACACCTTTTGTATGGTTCAGCTTACATATATATTGAAGGTAATTTACCGACGCATTATGGACACTTAGCTGTATAGTAGTTTCATTTACTATCTGTAAAATAAAGTGAGAAACTTTCGATAAGTTTTTTTTACTTAGTTAACTGCCTACGGACATTTAAATTGAAGCAAAGCTTACAGCAGTTTTTCGCATTAACAGTAACGACCCAATTTTGTCAGCCCGTTTTGAAAATGCTTGTACAAAACTCATGCGCTTTTTCAGTGATCTTAATGCACCAAAGTATACTTTAAACATCCATCTTGAAGATTAATGAGAAAGATTTGGAATTACGGTTATGTGGAATTATCGAAGGATAAAGTCTGATGCGTGAAGGGGTTGGCAAAATCGGGTCATTACTGACAAAATTAGAATGGTATTTTATTGATATCTTTACTGCGCTTTGGTTAACATAGGAAAAGTCATATTACTTTTTTTTGTATTTCAATGTTTCAAATGTCAAGACGATAAACTTACCTGCACATATTCTTGTGGCACTGGTGTATCTTTGATGTAAAACATAAGATCATTGCTGTTGAATTTTTCGGTCTCTGGATCTGAGCGATTCAGTGTACAACTTATTTCGTAGGATTGATTCACCAGTCGATAAATAACAGCTTGTGGTGAAATCCCTACAACACATAATAATAATTATTACTATTCATGAAAAAGTTAATAATTAAACAAATAAATCTATGTACAAAAAATTAATTCCTGTCTGTCTGTCTGACCCTTATAGACTAAGAAACTACTGAACCGATAAGCGTGAAAATTTGTATGCAGGAGTTTTTGGGGCAGGGAAGGGTTCTTATGATAGTTCGAGACCCCTCCCCCTCTGTAAGGGGGGGGCTCCCATACAAATGAAACAGAAATGTCTGCAAAACTCGAGAACTAATCAAGCAAATGGAACCAAATTTGGCATGTGGAGGTCATAGAGGACCCCTTAGATAAGAGAGGGGGGGGGGGGCTACGTACAATATAGCATGTTTTTATTTTATTTGGCACATAAACTCAAGCTAATTTTGAATGCCGAGCAAGGCCGGGCACATTCAGCTAGTAACAGATAAAATTAAAATAGATATTATGTAAGAGCGAACCCTAATAAAAAATTACCATAAACGAACGATAACCCAAATGGATGATAGCCCGAACACGTCGTTAAGCAAATTAAAGGGTGATACGGTCAAAATTTGGTCAATATCAACTTGACGTATTTCTTTCAATTTTGCATTTAAAAAACCTGAACACCCCTCATTTTGAAGGTGTGTGTGTGTAGAATGTTGCTCCTATTTTGATTTTGGAATTCACTCTTCAGTTGTCAAAATGCCGTCCAAGCAAGAAGAGCAGCGTATCACAATTTTGCTCGCGCATCGCGAAAATCCGAGCTACTCGCACGCAAAGTTGGCAAAATCGCTAAAAGTTGCCAAATCAACCGTTACAAATGTAATTAAAGTGTTTGGGGAACGTTTGTCGACAGCCAGGAAGTCTGGATCGAGGGGAAATCGAAAACCGGAAGCCGCTGAGACGACAAAGAGAGTTGCCGGTAGTTTCAAGCGAAACCCTAACCTCTCTCTCCGAGATGCCGCAAATAAGCTGGGTGTATCGTCTACAACCGTGCATCGAGCCTAAAAACGAGCCGGACTATCGACTTACAAGAAGGTAGTGACTCCAAATCGCGATGATAAACAAAATACGACGGCCAAAGCGCGATCCCGGAGGCTGTACACGACGATGCTGACGAAGTTTGACTGCGTGGTAATGGACGACGAAACCTACGTCAAAGCCGACTACACGCAGCTTCCGGGACAGGAGTTTTATACGGCAAAAGGAAGGGGAAAGGTAGCAGATGTTTTCAAGCACATGAAACTGTCAAAGTTCGCAAAGAAATATCTGGTTTGGCAAGCCATCTGTACCTGTGGCTTGAAAAGCAGCATTTTCATAGCTTCCGGGACTGTCAACCAAGAAATTTACGTGAAATAAACGTCTGCTGCCTTTCCTGAAGAAACACGGTTGTTCCGTACTGTTTTGGCCGGATTTGGCATCTTGCCATTACGGTAAAAAGGCCATGGAGTGGTACGCCGCCAACAACGTGCAGGTGGTTCCCAAGGACAAGAACCCTCCCAACACGCCAGAGCTCCGCCCAATTGAGAAATACTGGGCTATTGTCAAGCGGAACCTAAAGAAGACCAAAAAACTGCTAAGGGCGAGCAGCAGTTCAAGGCAAACTGGCTTTCTGCGGCGAAGAAGGTGGACAAGGTGGCTGTACAAAATCTGATGGCAGGGGTCAAGCGTAAGGCCCGGCAATTCGGATTTGGAAAAGCGGAAGCCTAACTGAATATTTTTCCTGAATTTTATACTAATTGAACTTGAAAAAGAAATTTAATTTGATTTTTTAAATAAACGATTTCACCGATTTACACGCGTTTTCCCTTGACCAAATTTTGACCGTATCACCCTTTAATCATAACATTTTTTTTTAGGGAAGACAACATATCAAGAAGACTGGCAATATTGCCTGAATCCAAGCGGCAGGCACAGTAACGCTACGCGCTAGTGAAGGTGGAAGCAACGTATAGAAAAATGAGCAAATACACAAACCTTTCTTCTGAGGATAGAACCTTTGCTATCCAATTCCTTTAAGCGGCAGATGACGCGATTGTGCCTGTCTCATACCAGTCGTTTGATAAAATGGGAGAGTTGCCAGTCTTCTTGATATGTTGTCCTCGGTAAGAGGGAGAACCTAGTTGAGGACTCAACACTATTTGAAAAAGCTCTATGGTACTGATTTTTTCTAAAAATGTAAAGTAGCGTTTTATTTGTGGCGATTAGCTAACCGATTAGAAAGTAAACCCTTTCAAAACTTTTCATGTTATACTTTTTACAGAGCTCAACTTCAAATTAAACTTTATTAAATATATTATAATTTAGATATTATTTTATTACACGTAACTTATTGTTGCTGATGCCATTAAATGCATTCGGTTATGAAAAAAATAAAATTGAATGTACACAAAGAACAGTAACTTGAGGGTAGACGTACAAGTCCATTTGGGACGTCAGATTTTTTTTAAATCTTTATTTGAGAGATTTTTAGCCGAAGGCTAGTTCATCTCTTAGGAATGCCAGAAGAAAAACTACCCTAAATCAATAAAATTATGTAATTTAACTTAATATCCCAAAACTTCAAAAACTCTTAATGAAAAAAATCTACTATATGATCAATAATATTTTTAAAATGACAGGTTCACAGTAAAAATCATAAGTGATATTAGACTGATGCAAATTTAACGATAACGACTCGAGACAAAGAGGCGCGCAGCGGGCAAGATGGACAGCGACTTGCGGAGCCTTCGAAGACAGTGTTGCTAGCTACATGCAGCCATGGATCGAGTGGGATTGAGACGACTTCTGTGTACAACAAAGGACACCTTAATCTGAATCGTAAGGTACTGCAAAAGGCTTGATGCAAAAAAGTGCAACATAATGCTGATATAACGGAAGATGCATACATGTCGTAGCATTTTAGGGTGACTAGCCATGTATAAAAATGCGCTACAAGAGGAAAGGATTTGAGTGTTCACTCGGCTGTCGACAGAAGCAGGCCAGTCTCGATGTGTGTCACGCGATCGTCTGTTTACGTTTCGTGATGAGTGTGTGAGTGATGACCATGTTTTGCGTCTATTAGTACAATGGAAGCGCTCTGCCCCCCGTTGGCGATACTGCCATACAATGAAACCACTGGAAGCGGATTCCGTTCTGATTGAGGAGGCTTATTGGAGAGCGGAAAATGAAATGTTTATTGTGTTGTACCTTTTGACTATAGTTTTACGATGTTGTGTATAGTGAATAAGAATCCTCGGTAAAGTTAATTAAATTGAGCCTTATCAAATAAATTAATAACAAAAAAAGAGGAAGGGGACCAAAGTTGGTGATGAAACGGAAACAAACGTTAACGTTTAAGTTTGATGAAGCACCAACGTTGGACCCCCTTCCCTTTGTTAAGGTTTTTTTGTACATGGCTGTTCACTAGGGTGTTTCATTTTGAAAAAAGTGATAAATTTTTGATAGGCCACCCTCCAGTTCGATTCATAGCCCCAAAATATGAACCTGTGCAAAAAATGGTAAAGATTGATGAAGGTTTAGAGGTCGCGCCAATGATTTGGATTTTGTATGGAGATTTTGGTGAATTAGTATGGGAAATTATTGATTTTCGTTTACATTGCTCTAACTTTGGTTGTAGTTGTCCAAACGTTGAAAAAAAAAAATATGTGGTTGTCATGACAATGATCAACAAGCCTGTTGTTGTTGCGATGAAATTGGCGTTGTTGCCTTGTACATATTCATCTGTCAATTTACCCTATTTTGCCATTTTTTCACATTTTTATAATTCTTGATACGCTGCAAAACTGAGCGTAGCAACTGTAGGCTTTTTGTTTATTGCCATAGCAATAACATACTAAATTTTTTCGACATTTGGACAAGTAGAAGCAAAGTTATAGCGATATAAGCGATTTTTTAAATTCTTCCATAGTAATTCCCATACAAATTTCAAATCATTGGCGCGACCTCTAAACCTTCATCAATCTTTACCAATTTTTGCACAGGTTCATATTTTGGGGCTATGAATCGAACTGGAGGGTGGCCCATCAGAAATTCATCACTTTTTTCAGAATGAAGCACCCTACTGTTCACCCTAAAATGCTACATCATTTATGCATCTTCCTTAAGACTAATATATTAATTGAATGTCGTATATCAGCCTTATATTGAAAAAAAGGCATTATCAGGCTATTAACGGACTTGGTGTTTACTTGGTTTATGCTTTTTTTGGCCTTCGCAAGTCATATGATAACAAAACACTACCAGCTGAAATATGCACAGTAGGGTGGTTCAATAGGCGATAGGAAAGTTTGTGAGCTGCAACTTTGAGGAAGACCTTTTTTTATAAATTGAGTACGAAACTGAGAATATACTGATTTATGTTGCAATGTATTTATTTATCCATAAATTGAATTAAAATGCGTAAATAAGAATTTCTGAAATCGATTCATTATTCCACTTAACTGAAAATGTAGTAAACATCGTTTTTTTTACGTAGAGCTACGTCTTTGTCAACTATACTGGGGTGCAATCAAAAAATATGTGTGGTGAAATAGTGTTAGGTTTTGAATTAAATGAAATAAAAATCCAAATACGCCAATCGATAGCAGATAACATTACAAATATGATGAAATAAATATTTTTTTATTCAATGTTCCATACAATATTTTTAAAAAATGGGCAAATGATATTTTCTCTCTGTTCTTATGATATACACGTTTTTCCCAAACCCAGTCGTCATAATCGAGTACCACTTTGTTGCACATCATTCTGCTTGAACCTGAAAAGATATAAAACAACACTGCTGTCGTGCCTCTGCTCATAGGAACAACATCTGCTGCCGAATGCTACCCAGTTTCCAGCTGAAAATGGTTGAAGCATTGGGAGTGGAAGTCTTCACACCCGTCGGCCCCGTCACCATCATTGCGCCCGAAACAAGCAAACGCCAGGGATGGATCCGCGGCAGACCTGCGGAGGGATATTGTCAGAATAACACCACACCGTAGAAAATTCATCATCGCTGGCGAACTGAACGCCAAACATCAAGCTTGGGGCAACCAAAGGCGGAATCAAAACGGCACCATTCTGAACGACGACGTGCAAGAGGCTCACTACACCATCCTGGTGCTGAACACTCTCACTGGCTGAGTCGGTCCGGCTTACACTCCACCATCGACATCTTCGTCAGCAACATGGGAGACAACATCTCGCAACCTGTGACCCACCAGGAGCTGAGTTCGGACCACTATCCGGTGGTGGCCGAAGTGGGCTCATCCGTAAACCGATTCCAAGCTTCCCGACGCAACTATCATCGTGTCTGTTGGGATCAGTTCCAACACTGTGTCGACTCCACTGTCGACTACGGTGTCCTTCCGGAGACGCTCGAACACATTGACAGGAGTCTGCATTCCATCGAGGAGGCGATACCCCGGGCCAGGGAGCAACACGTGCCAGTATCCAGACAGGTGAGCAATACTCCGAACCTTGATAGATCTACCAAAGTCGGAAAAAAAACTCACATGATTACCAACCGCATCCGGGAGCTACGAGTCGAACGATGCAAGACAATCTTGAACTTCCTTAAGCGAAAAAAAATATCCGGTAATCCTGTTCACCGACGAGAGAATGTTTACCGACGATCCCGTATCAAATTCCAGAACCGACCGGTATATTAGTTCTCTTCCGGTAAAAGACGTGGCCAACGAGCACAATAACGTGTATCTGACCAAGCATCCTGCTAGCGTTATGGTGTTTGGATTGGTGGCTTCCGATGGCAAAAAAATGGACCCAATGTTCATTCCAGAAGGCGACAAGGTCAACACGGAGGTCTACATCGGGATTTTAAGTAAGTATGTTCTTCCGTGGATCAAAGACCAGTACGGTCCGAAGCCAAATGTTGTATTTCAACAAGATGGGGCTCCATGCCACACCTCGAACCGCACTCAATATGGCGCGTCATGAAGGCCAAGGCCTCTTCTAAACGCCACCCGAGTACAGCAAGCCTCAGACAAACATTGACCCGTACCTGGAGAGAAATGGATCCAGACTACATTATTAGAACCTGCCGTGCATTCCGGAAGCGTGTTGAGGCCGTAATTGCAGCAAGTGGAAACTCGATCGATGATTAACATAGTTTAAGACTCTGAGAAACATCCCCCTTTGAATAAATAAAAAAAAAACTGGAAAACGAAATGTTTGAGATTTTTTTAAATTTTGACATTGCTCAATGGTGCAAACATTATCACGCATACGTTTTTTTTTTCTTCCTTTATTTAGGAGATTTTTAGCCGTAGGTTAGTTCATCTCCGCAAAGGGTGGGAAGCCCTAAAAAGAGGTCCCCCAGCCACATTGCTTGAGTATCATGCTACTTCAACCTTTGATAATCTACTTAGCTAAAACATTTAAACTGCTAGTACAATAACACAGTAAACAGCATACGAAAAATGCAGACTAAAAGGATACAAAAAAAAGAACAAAATATAAAATGAACAAAAAAAACCAATAACAAAACATAGGTCCACTGTAGGAGGTCCTTGGGGGCACCGTCCAGTGGGGGGATGTCCGGACGGCCAAAAGAATCGATGGTGCTAAATCCTGCAGTATAGCTTCGCCGCCTTCAAAAAGCGCAGTACAGCTGCTTGAGTTGAGGGCACGTCTGCTAGCGTGTCCCGTACGCTGGCAGGCAGACCGTGGAGGCAACGAAGGTGCTCGAATTGTGGACATACGCATAACACGTGCTCCACCGTCGAAGGAATATGGCAGAATTCACAGGTCTTCCTGAAGGATCCTCCGCTTAAATCTTGTAAGATTAGGGAGTGTCCTGTCCGGAGTTTCGAAAAAATCCTCTAATCTCGCAGGTTTGCAAGGTCTGTCCACTTTCCGATGTCACCTTTAATTTTTCTAATAAATGGAAGTCTGGCACTGGACCATTCCGTTGCCCACGCTGTCCGCACTGCACGGAAATAAATGGTGGGTTATTGAAATAACTATTTCGATAGTTGATATCTTTAATAAACCTATGCTTGATTCAATCACAAATTTTGTTTATTTTAAAACCACCTCTTAATTGAGTCAAACATATTTTATAGTTAAAATTGCTATAATTTTTGCACATCTGTCATAGGGTTGAAGCAAACCTAAAATGTTATTATTCCAACCCGAGAGTATGCTTGATTCAACTATACAAAATGTGAAAACAACAACCTGATATTTTGCGTTGATTTTCATCATGGCGTCCGAGGAAGAAACACATCAGGAAGAATTTGTTGCTGAGTTTGTGGTGGACGATGAATTGCTGGAGATTTATAAATCGTTTGAATTAACGGATGTAGCAATTGAGCAATTTGTTAGTAAGTATTTCTATGTAATATTTAATTAAATCATCGTACTGACAAATTATGTTTCTTTGCAGTAAATGGCTACGACGTTCACGCTCTACAGGTAATAGAGCGTGAGGAAGTAGAAGCTCTACTACCACCGCCATTACTAGCCGACAGAACGAGGTGCATCGACGGGTTAAACAAGTGGCGTTGCTCTATGGTAACATGCAAATTATATCACTAACATAAATAAACTAATATTAAAATTCCCATAGGGTTTACCTCCAGTAACAACTCCATTAAAAATCATCAATCCATCAGCAACGAGCAGCTTCGATCCTTCAAAAACCACGCTGAGAAATCTGCCACGAAGTCAGTGGACTTCGTTGGCACTGATCAATAGGTCCAAGAAAGGAAGGCTAATATTGGAAAATTTTAATTCGACCAAAATTCTATCAAGGAAGGATCGCACTTTCATCACTCATCTTATTATCGATGAATTCGTCGACGATTTTGGAAAATTAACACGCGAGGAGTTAGGGTTGCGATCGGACGAGTTGAAACTTTTGTTTTCGACAGTGGAAAAGGTAATTCTTTGAGATTATACCATTGTAAACATTAACAACTTGAAAGTTAGCACACTAAACGAGTAGCAGTTCCCTATTTATGGGTAAAGGCTCAAGCGCAGTGTGTGCGGAAACGGGACGGAAACGGAAAGTTTGACAGTCGTCACAAATGACATCAAGATGCCTAACCGAAGTTGATTTGGTTCTAACTAGTTTTCAATCCGACAAGCAGGCTTAAGGCCGGCGCACAATGGATAAGTTTTCGGGTTTTTTGACAGTTAACCCATGCATTATCTGTCAAAAAAACCGAAAACTTATGCATTGTGTGCCAGCCTTTACTCAGATCGGGCTTTTTCGCTTCCGCTGCCGCTCCGCTTCTGCTGTCATTGCGCTTGGACCTTAACTGTTACTTATTAATGTTAAAATAAAATGCTAAATTATGTATCATATAAATTATATAGTATATTAATAATGAGTAGGTCCCCTTTTATTGAAAATGGGTGAAATTTTACCCATAATGGGTATTTTTTTCATACCGTGTTTTGCTTTGCTGTGATGTGATGAAAAGATTAAAAACATTGTCAATGGCCTGTTGAATGTATATATTATTTATTCGTGTAAATATGGTAACATAAATATTGTTTTCATTCCAGCATGTGTGGTATCAACCAGCATCTTATCGTGATAACGACGGCAAGAGAATCAAACTTGGACGTGTAGCTAAAGGTTGCCTGTTTGACCGCAATCACAACTATCGCGGATCCAAAACACCTGCTCCGGCATCGATCGCTTCAGACGAACATCCATCAAGCGGGACTCAATCATTAGTTGATGTAATCACATTGGAAGCAGGTAGCTACTACATTTATTTGGCGTTGCAAACAAAGATTTGATTTATTTATATTCGTTCTAGTGGCGACGTATCAAGAAACAAAAAATTGGTTCCGGCATCATCACGGCGAGTGGGAAGATATTAAGAAGCGCTGGCAGGAAACTAATGCTGTTCGCTTGCATGAAATCAGCAGATTGAAATCCGTCACTTACCAGAAGGTACTGGATGAATACCCGGTGCTGAGAAATAGCAGTGGCTATCAGTTGGTAAAGCTAGACTTCGCTTTCAAGTACTCAACGAAATGTAACCTATTGTTCAGCAATTTCGCTTCTTTTCGTACATGCGCTGAAATCGTATTTTGTAACGAGGTACCTGAGCAAGGAAAAGCACTTTGGACACTGCTGAATGAAGAACTAACAGAAGGTAAAGTAATTCTTGGTATACGGTATCTTACCATACGAGTTTACTTCAACACTTTAAATCATGAACATATCTGCAGGAAGTTATAAAACAATGTTTTTTTTTTGTTTTTTTTTTCATCAACAGATTCGCGAGATTGCATCACCACATTGCTTCTATTGATCATTTGGCCTAGTAAGTTTACACGTCTACCCAACGGAAAGAAATGGAAACCATCGTTACTGGAGAGTCGTGAAAGCAGCATCTTGCACTTAAGGACGCTAGCAGATTATGAAACAGAACTTGCTAGGCTTAGTCGACAAAATCATCAAAGAGGTTTACCAGATTATCCAGTGGTCGTAGTAGTTGGTGATACAATTAATCACATCAACCAGTTTTTCGTAAGCTATAAAGACATAGCTTATAAAGCGGAAACCTTCCTCAAAGCACTTGACGTTACATTCAAAATTTACAAGGCATACGAGATAGATTTCCCCAGCGAATCAACTGGCCCGTGGAATTTCATTGCACATTCGTTGTACCACTTCGAACCACCAGAAGACGGAAACAAAGCAAGGATCTTAACTCTAGCTGCAACTCTCCGTAACCAGCAATCGGCACAATGATTGTGTGCTTCATTTCCGGTTGCCGATGGAAGACTACATGCCCATCACTTTTCGGAACTCACCTCCGCAGAGTCCATGAGCCCATCGATGTCTATTGCTGCACTGTTTCAAATTGCGGAAGACGATTTAGTGTCAGATGCTCTTATATTTCTCATATCAAGAAACACATTCGAAACAACCATGCTGCAGATAACCTTTGTAACGAAGATAGGTTTGATTCGGAAGATCATGTGTTACCATCCGTACCACATCACAAATTGTCAAATGAAAACGGTAGTATAGAAGTACATAGAGAAAGTATAGCAAATGTTGAAGACGATCAGTTTATCCAAGTTGAAAACATTGAAGCACAACAGTTAATCAACCTAGAGAAAATCTCATCAGAAATTAGTCGTTTAAGCATTGGTTTTAACTTAAAGTGGTTAAATAAGGATACGGTACCTCGGAAGTTGGTATTTCAGTTTCAAGATGATGTACGAAGAAATGTATTGAATCCCATTAATGAAATTGTAGGAGTAATGACTGATGTCGGTTTAATTTCACGTTCTGGTAGTACCGTATTAAAATCTGTATTTTCAGTGATCAACAATTCACAGACCGAGTACAAATTTATACGAGACCTCAAAGAAATAGGCTTGTACGAAGAACCGGTGTATTTTAGTATAAGTAACGAACTGAAACCAGCTGTAATACATCAAAACTTAGAAATGGTCGAAGATGATGTAAAGGGTGTTTTAATGCCTATAAAGTTCCAACTACGCAAATACTTAGAATCGGAAAATGTAATCGATCTATTGATTGGATGTCTAAAATCATCTGATGATGGAGTAATCAGGTCTTTAGTAGATGGCACCATTTGGCAGAAGAAAATACAAGGACTAGAAAGTAAGTTGATCGTTCCAATCAATATATTTTTTGACGATTTTACTACAAGCGACACAGTTTCTCCTCATGCCAGTAACACTAAAATATGTGGAATTTATCATTACATACCTTGTTTACCACCATATATTCTGTCACGACTTGTTAATATTCTAACGACTGGTTATGTTATGTCTGGAGATAGGAAACATTTTGGCAATGAACGGACGCTGCTTAAACTAGTTGAAACATTAAGTGAATTAGAAAACACTGGAATTACCGTCCGATACAAAGGAAACGAGATAACTGCTTATTTCAAGCTAGGTTTCATAACTGGTGATAATCTAGGATTGAGTGAGATACTAAATCTAGTTGAGTCACCTACTGCCAATTATTACTGTCGTATGTGTACCAGAACTAGGAGTGAGAGAGAAATCGACAGCAAAGAATATGTAGATTCTCTTAGATCTGAAGAGATGTATGAAGAGCATGTGCAAGTGAATGATATGTCTAAAACAGGTGTAAAAGACAGGTGCATCCTAAATCGCATTCCATCATTCCACGTGGCTTTAAATGTGTACTTTGATGTAATGCACGACGTACCTGAAGGGATATGTCTTTATGATTTATCGCATTGCTTGAACTATTTTGTATACAAACAAAAATACTTCACATTAGATGATTTAAATTGCCGGAAAAATCTTTTTGTTTATGGCCACTTGAATTCATCTAACATTCCGGATGATATAAAAGATACAAATCTCATTAAACAAAAGATTCGAATGACTGCAAGTGAAGTAATAACACTGATGCGTTTTTTACCGTTGTTCATTGGTAAACTCATTCCGATAGGCGATCCAGTATGGATACATTTTTGCAGCCTGCTAAAAATTTTTGATTTAGTTATGCTGCAAGATTTTCCTATTGAATTGATTCAAGAACTTAAGGAAGTGGTTGAGTTTCACCATACACAGTACGTCGCATTATTTAAGGACTCTTTAAAACCCAAACACCATAATTTGGTACACTACGCCACAGCAATATCAAAATCTGGTAGTTTACGTCGACAATGGGGAATGCGATGTGAAGCTAAGCACAAACAAGCTAAACAATATACACTGGAGTCGCTTTTTACGCGGGTGATACGTCCCGCGTAAAAAAAAACCGCGTAAAAAAAACCGCGTAAATTCCGGAATCCGCGTAAAAAAAAACCGCGTAAATTCCGAAATCCGCGTAAAAAAAAACCGAGTAAAAAAAGACCGTGTAAGGAAAAACCGCGTAAAAAGCGATATACCGCGTAAATTCAGAAATCCGCGTAAAAAAAAACCAAAATCCGCGTAAAAAAAAACCGCGTAAATTCCGGAATCCGCGTAAAAAAAACCGCGTAAATTCCGAAATCCGCGTAAAAAAAAACCGCGTAAAAAAAAACCGTGTAAAAAAAAACCGCGTAAAAAGCGACTCCAGTGTACTAGAGTAAATTATAACAAACGCAATATTTGCTCTTCTTTGATTACTAAGGCTAGTTTCAAATTCGCTAATGATTTATTTAGCAACGCATTCGTAACACCTTTACACGAGATCAAGGAAGAACATATACTTAGCTTAAAAATTCCAGATGAGTATAATATCCTGATGAAATACGAAGAATGTAATGTTGAAGATAGGATGCATCTTATTTCGCAATTTAGTAAACATGGCTCAAGCTATGAACGTGGTACAATTTTTTGCATTAAACATAAACTACTAAGAAACATTTACGAAATTGAATCAATAATTATAAAAAATAACGACGAGTTAATTTTACTATGCTATGCATATAATTCCATTTTATTTGACGAACATTTGCAATCATACGAATTGAAGCGTGCTAGTGTTATAAGTGTTGTTTATAATATGTTGAAATTAGATTCAAAACCGATTAACATACATTATGTAAATGAGAAGCCCTATTTCCGAATGTGTAACATTGTTGAACTTAACAGTATTATTATTAAAACATTGAAAATGTAAAAAAATCTCTAAATAAATAAAATTATTGTTATGTAATAACAACTTATGAGTAGAATATAATTGCACTATTGTAATTAGCCATCAAGAGTTGTTTAGCTATCCTTGAATATCTTCCAGGATAGTTATATAATATTGATCTAATATTACAAAAGTGCAATTGGTTCTTGTGCATGATTTTTGTTCCATTTAAACGGTTTCGAAACGGAAAACCTAATTAAGAAAATAAATTGAACTGACCCCAAAGCATGTTCGAATCAACTATTTTGATTCAGTTGGTATAACAATAATCATGGTTGATTTTACTGGCACTGTAAAAGAACTGTCAAAATATCAACCATCAACTATTTTAGTAGAACCATTTTATTGTTGTTTCAACCATATTTACCAAAGTTGGATCAAGCCTACTATTTAGTTATTTCAACTTGAATTATGATTGTAACAATCATGCATATGGGTTATCCAAAAATCAATGCTAAAATATAGTTGATTGTAGCTGAAATATGGTTGATTGGACTATACTTTTTTCTCCGTGTGTGCAAGTGATCCATCTCTTCACGTCCTGCAACGGTACCTTGTGCGAGTACCGAGGACCCGATGGGCCTGACCCGGCTAGGTTGTCCGCCTCGATGTTCCCTGGGATCTCGGAGTGTCCGGAAATCCATGCGTGTAGTGTTTACATGTTTACATGTAGTGTTTGGTGGCGCAACTTTCAAGATGCCCTGGATCAAGGGGTGGACCGGAACCTCCGACGTAAGGGCCTGAATAACACTTTAGGAGTCCAACAGGATCAGGATTGGCCGATCCACAGGAACCGTGACGGCATGAAGAATAGCCGCTGCTTCTGCCGAGAACACCGAACATTGTTTTGGCAGACTTCTACTCGTTGGGGAAATGTCACCAGCGATTACAATTCCGACTCCACCTCTAGATCTTGACCCGTCCGTGTAACGATGCATGTTGTTTGGGTACAATCCGGTCAGCTCTGCTACCGATCTCTTAAGGGCTACGGAATGGTCCCCGGCTCTGAACTTCTCCTTTATCCGGCTGTCGATGTTTGGTGCGGGAGATTGCCAACTTATCTCCGTACCAGTGAATCTTGGCCACTGGGGGGAACTCTGCGTTGGCGATTGTACGGAGAACTCTGTCTCCCTCGCGGAGGAGGCAGATTCTGTCATTTCCAGCGGTATTTGCTGAAAATGCAGCGGCTTTGTTGGCAATGGCTGCGTAGAAGCGGTACCGGAAAGGGAGAGTGCCGGCTTCGTCACAGCTACCATCGGCCCCGCATACGGTATATGCATATGTACATCATAGAATAATAAGCTCTATCTACTGTTTCCAATTAGCGCAATTTCTCAGAACTCAAAAGTGCTTGGGTGAATACGAAACCGCGTTTCAATAAAATCCTATTTTGAGAACATTTTATTTTTTTTAGTATTACTAGAAACTTTTTTTTTAATTATAGTCACTTTAACGCTCTTGGATCATTCGTGACTTGTCCGGGGGTGAGATTTGAACTCGAGACTGTGGCGTGAGAGGTATGAATGCTAACCACTACGCCGGGGTCGCCCTCATTATTAGAAACTAAAAAGTTAGACTTTTTCACCAAACACAATTTTTTTTTTTCATGTCCGTTTGTTATATTCATAGAAAAAAAAACACGGCATACATTTAGGCGCAGTGCGAAAATGACATAAATGGGTCCAACCAAAATCCATTACCCTACATCGGGGCAAGTTGAAACGCGTAGGGAAGTTGAAACGGTAGATATCGTTTAAACTTACCCCGGTGTACCTTAACTATGATGCTTACTATCAAAACATTGAACTGGTGTTTCTGGATACGAGCTTTTGCTCTGACTTTGGAATTCAATAACTGAATCCCACTAATTTCCAATTAATGTTGTACTAAGCACGTACGTATTGGAAACCAAACATTTGATTTGAGAAAAGTCACAGGATTCTATTCTGCATCATTCTACTGAAGTACATAATGATGATGCATGCCTGAGATCAAATTGAAATCTAAATTTGATGTTGTTATTTCGCTGATAATGATTACTCACGTTGCTGTCGTTTTGGTCGTTTTAACGGTTAAAATATCATAATTGAGAGCAAACAAATCTTCCTGTGACATCACATTAAAAACTAATTCTGCTAACAGTGAGAGCAAACAAAAACTTAATTTGATATCCATTTTTCCTGTTGATAGCAAAACAAGTATTCAATTTGATGTTATGCTAAGGCAATGAAATCAAACCCGCAACAACATATTTCTGAAGAGCAAATGTACAGCAAAATGAAAACAAAATTAGGTATGAAATTTGTCGATTGCGTAAACTGAAATCAAATTATGATTTCAGTTTGATGTTGATATCAAAACTTGATTTCAATTTGCTGTCATTTTGATGCTGTACTTTGCTTGGGAACCCCATATGATCGTTATACCCCTTTCTTCTCTACTTTGCTGAAATATGCATTAACATTTTGTTCAATATTGAAAGTATCGTCTTCTGATAGGGAAAACAACTGCCTATTTCGTTATCATAAAATGCAACCTTCACTCTCTTCTCTGCTTCAGAGACCTTATTTTATACTAATGATGGAGCAACTGATGTAACGTATTTTTGGGTATTGCTTTATCCCATGTATGGCGTTTTTGTGAACTATACTGAGGTGCAAATCAACAAAAAATGTGAGAAGAAATAGTGTCAGTTTCTATTGTAGTTGATGTCGAATTTAGTGCATATTGATCACAACAAAATAGCTCAACATTGACCAACCCAATGCAGTTTTGTAGGGAAAATTCTGTCAGTTCTTAACCATTACCTTAAATTTAAATATCTCATGCGTAAGATGAACGCTGGTCTGATTATGCTAACATTAATTGTCGCGTGTTTTGAACCATAACCGAAAAATTTAAATACCTGAAAAATTTAAGATAAAGTATGATAGTCAAAAATGAATGACATACATGCGTAGTTCTACGACATACTGCGGTCGTGTCTAGGACACAACCCTTTATTTTATTTTTATTTATTTTTTCTGTCAGTCACTTCTTCGTTCGACCAAAATGAGTTCAGTTTCGAACCCCTTCGGATACACGCAAGCAAAAGAACGTAAGAATTCCATAAGAAACACTTATGAATTTTAGCCATAAGAAATGAGGGCACCTTTAACGCCGTCAGCAGAACAGTAACGCAGATCATGTCAGCGCTACAGCGAAAATGGCGAGAGGACCAGCTAGAAAGTAGTAATGTGCTCACACAAGTGCGAAGTGAAAGCCGAAGCCGGGAAAACTCTCCGTCAGAGTAGGCTGAATCCACCACCGGGGTTAACCGAGTAGAACGTGACGCTGGGAGCTAAATGGCTCAGAAATTGGAGAGACGATCAGCGAACTGGAAGCGCCAATTAGCTGAGGTAATGTGAGGTGCGTAATGCACGGCCCCCTCCGAAGTAATACGACAAGTGGTTCCGGAGGAAAAGGGCAAGGCGTCCAAGGAGGTTTTAGTGCGGTAAGAATCCCACACACCGGGTCACCGCGACTGTGCGCCCAGTCATCAAGCAGTGGCACGAGTGCCTTT